TCTTCATCTGAATTGTATTTAGCTATGCTTCTTAAATGGTAGTCCCTTCCTAGCTGGACTGAACAGGACTACAGTTTTGACATCGTCTGAATTGGTCTCATCAGTAGCCTCAGTGTGAATCGAACCTGGGTATTATAGCGTAGAAATTGTGTTTTGCCATTATGAACGAATAAGTTAATTATAACGTAGTTTATAAGTAGGTTTTCGAGACCATCATAGTACAAACAGAAGATTTTCCAAGGAACACCAATTTAGGATTAAGTGATCTTTAGACTTGAGGCAGGAAGCCGTGAGTGGTAAGGAGGCATAAGAATTACTCGAAACAGTTATTTTTAATCTACTTTTTATTTCGAAGGAAAAGTTAGTTTGAAAGAATTAGTGAAATGGTAGCACTAGCAACCGCAAGATGATTGCTGCGGAGTAAAACTGTCGGATTGTGCGAAGGAGTCCACAGTTGCCGTCCTGCGACTTCTGTGCTATGTTATAGTCCTTCATAGAAAAAATATTGTCATAGCGGTAAACCATACTTTGCGTAATAGTACTGCAATATACTAAACAAAGAAAAAATGCATTGGTGTGCTGTATTCTTACTCTGATGATATCTGTCGCAGTACAAACGAAAACTTAGCACAGTTTCATCAGGGTCACAGAACGGTATGCTGAGAATTTCTTCGTACAATAGAACAGTCTTCCCTCCGCGGCAATCCTCTTTCGGTTTCTGATAAGACCAATTCACGAACCCTCTCTAGCCAACTTTTCCTTCTAAACGGAAAGTCGAGTCACATTAATTGACCTGAATAATCTTCAAACTCCAACTTTGATTCACATATACATGAAAAAGTGACTGTCTTTTGATACTACTTACCAAACGCACCGTCGCCCTTATGATGTTTTGGCTTTAGTATAAGAGTCCTGATTTCTCTATGCTGCATAATGTGATGAAAAACTAATAGTTCACTTCTCCCACAATGATATGCGTAAGCTTCATGTTTCAATTGGACTACACATAGCCTTACTTCCCAAAAGATATGTTCATCCAGGCATGAGTGGACTGCAGTTTCGACCTCGCCCCGAACTCATCAGCATCTCTTGCGTGACTAGAACTCGAGTTGCGATATTGCAGCGTATAAATTCGGCATATTACCACTACGCCGCATTGCTATGCTACGCCTAGGTTGAAGGTCAGTCGTGAATTTCAAGCAAGGCTAGGCCTATTCTGTCATATTATGTGATTGAATTGTCGTTGAAGCAAGCTTGTGTTTTGCCATTATAATCGACTACACTACTTATATCCAAAGGAAGTAGGCTTTTATACCTTGTAGAGATTATATGATACCCTAGCGGGTTTTGTTTACGTTGGATGTATGCAAAGAAAAGTTGCGTTTCGATAAGTGTGTTGTTTTATGATTATTGTGCTTACTTCCATTTCGAACGTGAGTGTTTGGTGAAGAGATTCGAAGGTCGATTCCACCATAATACGACGGTGGATTCCTCTTGACCAGCTGTAGATTGCCTTTACTGGAAGATTCATGCTGACGCTGTTTCCGAGGCAATCTTCTTCGATTATGGTGAATGACGGATTTCGACATATGACGTACGAAAGCTTGGCACCTTTTCACCGTAATCGAATGAGATTACCTTGTAAGCAGCGTCGGCATGAATGTTCCACTAAAGCCAATCGACAGCTGGTTAAGAGGAATTCTCAATCGTCTTCTGGTGGAATCGACCTTTGGATCTCTTCACCAAATACGTTGGATGTGTTTATGAGACCCAGGCGAGGTCGAAGCTGCAGTCTAATCCGGCCTGGATGAGGATATCTTTTTGGAAGCAAAGTTAAATGATATTGAGTGACGTGATTATGGGAATTTCAACTCTCAATCCTTCATCACATTATGCAACCTAGAGAGACTAAAACTGTTAGTAAACGGAGCCTGTGGTCAATGTCACGGAGAAATAACGAATAAAATGGAAAAGGCAGTTGTAATGGTTTGCGTTTTTGAGACCTTGTTAACCTAGGCCTTTGGTGGCAAGCTCTTTAAACAAAACAAGGCTGACTAAATATGTTGCAGCCCAGCCAGTACTTTGAGAAAACATCATCATGATGATGCCAAGAGTGTTAAGATAGCTGCAACAGACTGTATGCTAAGCAGTGACAACTGGGAATTCATCGGTCTGATACACAAAGATAAACGATTTACGCAAGTAATCCCATCCCCTATCAGGGCTCGATGATATTGCTTAATTGTAAGCACTTGTTGTGTCAGTCATACTGTCAAGCTCCAAAACTTCAAAATAGATGTGAAAGTGGTTCAGGCCCCTAACTGCGGTTAACAACACCAATATATTATATAACCTTATTGTAGATCATTAAAATTTGAGTACTGTTAAAGCATTCAAAAGCCATAGTTACCAGGAGAATATATTAGCAAAATGTTTTATCCAGCAAGACAATTAGGATATTGTACTTAGAAATCGCATCATATCATAGCATATATAATGTTTGATACATACTTGGGATTATATCACAATAAAATATCACCTAGATTATCATAGAGTTCCGAATGCTGTCAGTTAAAGGGATGATAAAATAATCCTACCCTACTGTAGAATGTAATTGAGGGTAGATGGATCTGTAAATGAGTAGGTTTTCGAGATTGAACTAAACCAGTGAATCCTGAATGGGCTGCATGAAGCCGGACTATCCCATTTACTAACTGCAATGGTTCGACTCAAACCTCTCTCTCTCCGAATCCTCAGGAAATCAGGAGACAATTCAATCTCTCTACCAAGCCTTCGTCGCCGGACAGATTGAGGTCTGGCTTATTCCCCCAAATCAGATGTCACAAATTTCCGACACGCAAGTAACGGCAATTTCTTCACATCCCCATCCGCCGGGGCCAGAGAACCAACTACAAGGTCACTTGCGGGATACCGCCAAAACGACTAATTCTGCCACGCATAGCGTTTCAGCCTCGCCGGTCCCAGCAGATGTGCCGTCTGGCCATGCACAGGTGACAAGCAATGTGGAAGATACCAACCAGAATGCCGGACACGACAACGAGGGCGGTAACACACTTCGTTGGGCCGCCGGGCAGTCAGCACCCACACAACTTGAAGGAACCGGGACGTCGAGTCATGGAGGCGTTGGAGGCAGCCGGAGTGGTAAACATGCCGAGCTTGGCGGCACAGAATGGCGCCAAAAGAAACCACTGATCATTTATGACGTGAGTTGGCATGAATGGAGCAAAAAAGTCTGAATAGCCCGTTATTTCTGACAGATGTATCGGGTCTTTTTCTGTCTTGGAAGTCAAGTGTCATAAGAAATATGCAAAGTCAACAAAGAATTTATTGCAAGAATTAAGTTTAAGGCACATATATTCTTCTATCCTTAAGGCAGACGGATTAGATAATTTCTTATTCTTAATCAGCTAGAGGATTGATAATATTATATTCACTTTGAAGATAGAGGAGGACAAGTGCTTAACATTTTTACATGTTTTAATGATTAGAGCGGGAAAAACGTTAGGCACGGATGTAGATAGGAGGCCAACACAGATTGGTTTTATCCTTACTTCCTCCTGCAAGCATAATTACAAAAGGTAGTTCGTTATTTTAAAATCTATGCTTATATGGAGTAAAAGATTAGCCGATGGAGACAATTATGATAGAGAACTGGATCGGCTTAAACTAATATTAAGTAGGTTTGAGTTCGTTTACTCAAGTTGGTCGGAGCGACAGGGAGACCTTGTAGAACGTACCCAGTCCATATTAATCATGATGACTCCCATCATCAGACCGTTGCCTTGGTACATTCTTAGACGTTTTGCCAGCGTCATGGTGGCCATCTTCAAACATTATACCACACCATCTTGGTTTTCCTATCCACAATTATACTGATATGACTTGAGAATAAGTATCCCCTAGGCTAGATTGAAAATGCTATTAAATTAATAAAAATGCTTCTTTTAATAAGAAATATGTGAGAAGAGATAATAAAGGAGAACTTTTTACATGTTTTCATTTTGTCTTCGTGCATTATCAATAGAAAAATGGATAAACTAGTAAGAAACTCGGTAAGGAAAGCGGATTCCAAGGAAATGTTGACACTTTCTTTAGTTATTCCCAGAGTTGACCCATTATTCAGATCAGGTTACAATAACATGTTTTGACGTGATGGTTTCTATGGTTTCTATTTACCAATTTGACGAACGGTGTCTGAACAAAAAAGCGCCTGCAGAGGCTGTCGGCTTCAAAAACAAGAGCTAGCAGAGCCGAAGAAAGAAGCTGGGCATAAAACTAGTCTCAAAGTTGATATTTTGCTGATTATGGTGCATCTGTAACTGAGCGTAAAATAATAAAGTCAATTAAAATCAATGGATTTGGCAAAGCAGTGAATGTCAGAAATGCAAGTAAGAAATTAACTAAGAACTATTAATGCTTAATTGATAATCTCAAAGGTAAAAGGGATGTTGAGCTGCCTTAAAAAAAGGAAGCGACTTAACCAGTCTTTCCTAGTCACTGCTATAATTAATTGTCGATTTGGATCAGTCTGTTGGTGTTTATTTTGACCAATGTGAGAAAACACTCAGAGTATAGACTATCTGGTTAAGCCTGGGTTAGAAAACGCTTTAGAGACCCGTTTTGCACTGCTTACCTTTCAGCCGTAACTCCAATTCCTTCTCAAGCATCCCATTCTCATGGTGGCCCTTAGTCAACACAAATATGCAAGGGGCTCCTCCAGCTGATGCATTTTCCCAGGTCTATAACTCCCCAGTTTTTCGATATCCTAAATTCCCTGGCAAATTTCTAATCTCACTGCTTCGCCTAGCAAACATTCAGTGAGGCAGCACTCGAGGCTTTGATAATGCCTCCATCTTGTCTAGTTTCGATGTCTCTGTGCCTACCTGAGCTAAAGATCCCATGTACTGTGCAAAGCCCGGCAGTTGTAGGTACTCAATAAGGGTGTAGAGAAGATAGAATTCGGCGAATAGCTTAATAGAATATTGTATGCGTACCTTTTAGTTTGTTTGAAGAGGCGAGTAGAAGGGGTTCGTAAATCGACCTCTCCGGAAACCGAGATAAGTTTACTCTCCAGTTGTGGCTGTATATTCGTGCAAATAGATCCTCGTGGCACTTTTTCGCGACTCTGATGAATCCCTGTCGGGCTTTAGTCCATCCTGACGAAATATACATAATCAAAGCAGAAAGCATGCTTGATTTAGATAACTATTCCCTGCTTTCCTTGCAATACCTTGCTTGAAAGAGAATGAAATGGATGTAGTTGAGACCAAACAGCAGAATCCTCATCGTAATCACTGGTATTTTTTATCATTCAACGCTGAGCAGGTAATTGCATTCCAATGTATGAGTTTTGTGTGCATGCAAGGTCTATACGTCCTGTGAGGTGTGAAAGTTTCGAGGCGCGCTCTCTAACTTGTCCTATTCAACAGACACGAGTAGTTTCTGCTTAACTACCTACATTTCTTTCTTTCATGCAGTGTTTTTGCAGTTTGATTGAATTCCAAAGACTACCCACTCTTCCGCATACTTGTATTTTATTCATATCCAGCCAAGAATTTGCTTTAGTTCACCCTATCTGGTGTCCCATGCGAGTCATTGGTTCTGCCAGTTATGCTTTTTGCACCCACGAACCTCTTATACATGCATGAATTGGCAGGTCAGCTCCACAAAGACGCTACCATTCCAACCCAAAATCATATAACATCCCGATCCTTAATAGCTTCATTTCCGTTCTGGTGCATATCAGCCTCAAGACTCGGGCTCCTTACTGTTATGTATTTCATTACGCCTACTATAATCCCATGAGTAGGATTTGAAAACAAATTTTCGAATGCACCTTTCCATCCAATGTGGTTTCCATTAGTTTCTAATTCTATTGTAAAGTTATTCTCCCTATCTGTTTTATTCCTGAACTTTTGGAACTTTTACAGGCTCACTTTGCCGTCTATCAAAATGGCTAAGTAGTCATTCATATAAATAACCAGTAGTTTAGGAACTAAAAATGCTTTTTGAGTTTGGCGCCCCTCCAATTGAAACAAATAGTTATTAGACAAAATTGGTGACAAACACGATCTCTCAGCTAAACCTCGCGTTTGTTGGTATAATTTGCCTGTAAGGGTAAAATATATACAGCAAGTCGCCAAATTCGTTAATATCATTATTGAATCCTTTGCAAAATTTGAACTCCTTAAAATCTTTTGGTATTAATCTAATGACCCTATGCAGCTTCGTTTACAGGAAGGTCAATGTACGTCGAAACCCTCAGAAAGGTAGCCCTTATAGCCTCGCCAATGCCGCCATCTTGCCTACTTTCTATGCCGGCGTTCATACCGAGGCTAAAAGATTCCAGTGACTGAAATGTTTATTACCGAACAAAGGCCCAATTGCCTGTACTTCATACTCTGCTGGCAAAGTAACTATCCGGCTGCAACATGACGCTTTCCATGCCTTTCCACTGTGCTAGGGTACCTTGAGTGTTTAACCCTCAGAGCCGGTACTATCGCGCACCAGATCAACTCTTCAGCACTCCAGCCAAAGGCATCGATTGGCCGATTAAGAAGGGTTCAAGCAGCACCCTACATCAAGCAACCTTGTCTACCTACCTTTCTGCTCTTCACTCCAGACAGCTCCATTTTCTCGAACTTTCATGCTTCGGAAGGGTTGTTCTCGCCTTATCAGACATGTTTTACTAGCTCTTCTTATTCTGATCAGTTTAAACTATTTGACACTTTTTGGTATCTACCTGATTGAGGGATTTTATCAAGGCTGAACCGAATAACAAGATAGAAGATGAAAAAAATATTTGTGTGATAAAGAAGCTGTCGAGAGCAAAGGGCAAACCGAAAAGAGAGATTTTCGTTTACAACTAAATTTCATGTCTACTGGTAGATCATTTATGAGATGCATTCCCCCTAATTTGTCTAAGGTGATGGAGGACTATTCGTTGAATTTTTCCACAATGATATGAGTAGGCCTCACGTTTCCATTCGTTTTTACAAAGTTTTCTTCCCAAATGATATTCTCCCACAGGCTGTACCGCAAACCTAGGTGAGGTCGAAATTGCAGTTCACCCTAGTCGGGACGACAATACCCTATAGGAAGCAAGGCCATATGAAATTCAAAGTAAATGTGAGGCATAAACATATTCATGTGGAAAAATTCAACTACCCTTCCTTTAACATCGTAAACGGAATATGGTCAATACGTTTTATTTATAAAACAAGTTAGATTTTATGTATTGAGTATTTTAATTACCCATGAATTGGAGTAGAATACTAGTAGAGTTCAGAGCAGAGATGTGTCACGAAGATATAGTGCTGAGTTGTGGTGAAAATTGTGAAGAGAAGTTGTGGTGAGGGGATGTAGCAGTGGTATGGGGTAAAATGGAGTAGGTCTTTATGGGGTACGGACATTTAATGGAGAGTGGTTCTCTGAATGCTAAGTTCAGGAACTCTCCAAAGAAGATTGGCCGAGTTATTAATAAGTTGGTTTTACGACCTCATTGAATAAGAACTGTAGTCACTCCGGGTTGCCTAGGGTGCTTAGGGATGTTGATGTAGAATTTTCCCACAATGCTATGAGTAGGATGAGCATATGAAGTCAGTGAGGGGAGGAACTTCGTGACTGACAAAGGCAAATTTATCAATGAAAATTAGCTCGTTAACAGGCAGGATTGTTCATTTTCTTAGGTTGTAACGAATGCCAAAGTGCTAATAGCAAATGCTCTTTCCTTGACCTTCTTGCAGATTCTGGCAAACAGAACAGTTACCCAGAAAAGTGACATACTTCTACTCCACATGCTGTGTAAAATAGTTGGCTCGCTAACCTGACATGTACTTTACTTTATGCTGCTCAAGTGGGCAAGACTGCCATAAGCCTAGCCTATTATTCCAGGTTCATGCTATTCGAGAAGGTTTTTCTTCTTTCTCACAACTTTCTCCAATCGTCAATGAGTAACGTTATTCCTGGAATTAAGCCAAAACACATTAAAGTAGCAAGTCAAAGATAAAATGCTGGAGAAAAGCATCACAACATTAGTAATACAGGCACAAAAAAGTGCGTTCATTAAAATCTTTCTGAGCGTACGAAAGAATAGAGAAAAAGTGGTCAAATCAAGTATGGCTCGACTTTTCAGTTCGAAGATAAAGTTGGTTGAAAGAGATTGCTGAAATGATCCCACCAGAAACAGAAGGACTTTCGGATTGTTGTGCAAAGGAGTCCCGGCTTACCGTTCTCCGAGTCGAATGACAGTAAATAGATGCCTTCATCACCCCTAGACGATCCTTCTTTGGTTTACACTGAGGTCTTACGACCAACTTTTTGTATGAATTAAAAGGTCAAGTCACACTAAATCATTGACGAATTTTGCGATCCCAGTTTTTCGTCATACATT